CATCTTGGTTGATCTATTAGCCTGAAGTATAAAGAACAGTAACTTAGTGCTTGCAGAGGACCATATTCAAGAAATTGATTAATCTCAAATAATCTGTTTAAGGCCTCAGTGGCTAAAACTGGTTAATTCTCCTCAAGAGCCAGAATCCTATACGGGTGCCAGTCTGTCTGACTGCTCCACTTCCCATCCAGCTCCCTGCCTGTGGCCTGGGAAAGCAGTGGAGGATGGCCCGAAGCCTTGGGACTCTGCACCTGTGTGAGACCTGGAAGAAACCCCTGGCTTCAGACTGGCTCAGCTCCAGCCACTGCGGCCACTTGGGGAGTGAACCAGAGGACAGATCTGTCTTTCCACTTTCCACCTAGCTTTTTTATTATAAAGCCTTAGTGATTACACTGGAGACTACCAAAAAAGCAAACACAACCTCCTCGCAGCACCACCACGCCCAAAAAAATCAGAAAATTAACAAAAAGTATGTAGCCATCATGGTCTTCACCAAAAAAAAAAAAACAAATAACCAACAGCAAAACAAATCACCGGTATCCTAGATTTGCAGTCCCATCTGTAACTTCATTTATTGTCTTTAAGAAATGAAAATAGTACATGTGAAAATAAGGCATACTTTTTAAAAGGAAACAGTAGAGAAAGGAATGACAAACCAAATCTGCCTGCTCACCTTCTCCCCAAATTTCTATTCCATGCATGCTTTCCTGCACACAGGTCCAAGGAGAAAAAATACATATCCTATCAAAATTTTGACACAAATAGTTTCACATTCTTCTGCAATTGACTTTTCCAACTATAGAGTCTATCCAGGAGATTTTTATGTATTTGAATGGTTGAATTTTTTGGACATATGATCCTTGAGCCATACTTACGGGACATGGTCGTTGTTTAGCTTTATTATTGTAAACAATGCTATAGTTTCCTTCCTCTTTGGAAAAATGTACCTGTTAAAAACATTTCCTCTGGGTGTGGACATGACAGGGTGGGTTAAGCCAACCACTTGGGATGCTGACATCCCACGTTGGAGTGTCTGAAAATGCATCCCACTTTTTTCTGGTATATCTTCCTGCTATTGTGTCTGTGATGTCACAAATATTTGCACCCTTGAAACCCATGTAGATGACCCGGATGGAGGGGTCTGTCGTGATAGCCTAGTGGCTAAATCCTTTGCCTTGCATATGCTGGGATCCCATATGGGTGCAGGTTCTTGTCCAAACTGCTTCAAATTCCCATCCAGCTCCCTGCTGGTGGCCTGGGAAAGCAGTTGAGGATGGCCCAGTGCTTTGGGATTCTGCACCCATGTTGCAGACCCAGAAAAAGCTCCTGGCTCTTGGCTTGAACCCACAGTGAGCAGGGGAGACAGCACTGGGTGCAGCAGGACATTCTCATGGAACAAGTCTCAAAGTGAGGTACATCACTGCCACCTGCCAGCAGTTCAGCTCAGTCCCATGGCCACATCCAACTGCCAGGAAGGCTGGGAATCATCATCTAGTGTTCAGAAGAGAATGGCTGGCTCTCTGGAACACATAGGGCAAACATCATTATTTCCACTTTATAAAGAAACTGAGGCTGAGAGAGGGCACAGGGTGATTTTGCCAAGGGCATGATCCAGCAAGCGGGGAAATGACCTGCTTTGCCGGGTGCCTTTGGGCTGATCCCATATAGGCTGTGCCTACTTGCCTGTCCCAAATGGGTATCCCCACTAGCTGCTGATCAAGAATGTTTGATGGAAAGAACTCAGAACTAAGCAAAATATAAAGCTAAGTTTTGGCTTAAAAAGAAAGGAAAAGAAAAAAGGAAACCTTTTACTATAGTTTCAAATATCTAGGAAAAGAAAAATGGGTGACTGGCAAAATGGACATCCACATCCCCAACTGTTACATGTTCTAACAATTGTTAACATTTTGCCCTCTATGTTCTAGTTACAGATTTTGCTAAAGCACTTCCGAAAATAGCCACCAGGCTACTTTTTTCCCAAAGGCAAGTATCTTCTACAAAACCACATCATCAAAAAGTCCAAGTCCACCACTACCATGAACCGAAGTCAAAGCCTTGGAATGTCTTGAACTGTCCCCAAGATATTTTGTGTTTTGGAATCAGGATAAATTATGGTTTGCGTATCACATGTGCCTCTTTCAAAATTCCTTTTAATACAAAACAAGAATCAGAAAAGAACTGGCAGTTAAGTCTGTCTCTGTAAATACGTACATTTTGCTGTTGGAGAACGGCCACAGCTGACTGTGTGGCCCTAAAGACCCCTCAACACCTACAGCAAATCAGTGTGGCAGAGGCCAGGTGCTGGTGTGGGACACTCCCACCAAAGAAGGTTCTCGCAGCTGAGCCAGAAAGAAAGGAAACAGCACAATGCTCAAGGTGCCGTCTCCTCAACCACCATTAGCTGGGAACTAATAAAAATGCAAACCCTTGCCTGCTGCCATCACCTATCAAAGCAGAAACTGGCTGCAGGTTCACCGCCCAGGTGACTACAACCAGTGGCCAGACTGAGGCCAACTGCTTCACTCAGCTCTCCCAGGAGAGTAGTGGGGCCCAAACAGTTGTGCCATCTTCTGCCACTTTCCAGGCCATTTGCGTGAAGCTAGATCAGAAACTGGCTGCTCTATTTTTAATCCAGCTCCCTGCGAACAGCCTGGGAAAACTGAATAAGATGGCTCAGGTTGTTGAAGCTCTGGCTCTGGTCTGGCTTGGTCTAGGTCCTGCCTCTTAGGTAATTTGGAGAGTGAATCAGCAGAAAAAGATTCAGCTCGGACTTTCAAATAAATAAAGGTTAAAAAGAAAAGCAAAATTCTAAAATACTCAAAGTTTGTCATTTTGAACAACAAAGCAGACTCAAAACTTTTCGGAATTAAAAAGTCAAACAAGTGCTGAATTGTGTCCAAAAGACAAAGCAGATTAAAAACGGAATTATGAGTCTAAAACCTAGAGGTTAAATGCAGAAATGACCTTCAGAATTGGCAATATTCTCAAAGAGCAGGCAATTAAAGTGGCATTTTTTTCATTTGTCTAAGGAACACAGAAACCTAGGGGTGTTAAGGTGTTAGCACCCTATTCCATGCCAGAGACATTAGTGATGGGTAAGAAGGGAACAGAAGGCCTCTACTTGGGGATGGAAATAATAAAAAAGAATTGGTCCATATCATATCAATTAAGCTATTTTCTCTGACTACCGTGTGTCACCCTAAGCACAGGGCTTCATCCAGCACTGCCTCAGCATCGAGCCCAGACCTGAGTCACAATTATATTTTATCAGGAGTCCCAGAAGAGTTCCTGTGTGCGTCAGTTACATCTGGCTCAGTGGGCGGTTCTTCTGAGTATTACACAGCTGGAATAACGGACGGGCCAGAGCTGTGTCTATTTATTTGAAAGGCAGTGTTACAGGTAGAGGGGGGATGGACAAAGATCTTCCATACACTGGTTCACTCTCCACCCCAAGCCTCAAGGGTCAGGGTAGTGTCGAGCTTCACTGGGGTTTTCCACATGGGTGGAAGCGCCGAAGCACTTAGGCCACCTTCTGCTGCTTTTCCATGAGAACCAGCAGGGAGCTGGACAGGGAGGGGACTACCTGGAACGGCCCAGTGCCCATGTAGGACCTAAGCAGCAGCATAACCCATGATGTCACACGAAGTGTGCCTGCAGAGCCGAGTTTTCAACAATGGCCTTACGGAAGCAACACTTGTACTGAAGAGAATTCGTCAAGGCCAGTCTTCTACAAAAGTTCTGAGACAGAGAACTGCAAGTAATGCTGAGGTGGGAAGAGTGAAAGCTTAGCCAAAGCCTTGTAAGGGAATCTACCAATGAAAACTACAAATAGACAACGAACTTGAGCTAAGCATTTCAAACCGAAATCACAAAGCACTTCTTTAAAACCAGTACATTATTAGCACCAAAAAAACCTGGAACATATTTTTCATTCAGTATTTACACAGCTACAATTTTTGCCCTTTTAATGAAGGCAGGTGACACCAATGGTTCAAGTCCTAGATGTTCCACTTTTGAGCCAGCTCATTATTATCACACTTAGGAAAGCACAGGAAGATGGCCTGAGTATTTTGGCCCCTGCCAACCACATGAGAACCCGAGCTGAGGTCCAGACTCCCTTGTTTGGCATGGCCCAATTGCAACCATAATGGCCATTTGAGTGAGTAAACAGCTGACTGAAGATCTCTCTGTAACTTACAGCAGTGAGATTTTACTTCATTCTCATCAAATCCATAGAAGGCTATTCATAATGGGCACTTTACTAGTTAGTGTTTTCAGGTGTGTGGGTCATTCTCCACTAATGTTGTTAAAACATAATGGTTTTCTTTGCCACTGCCCCATCCCCATCTATTGGGTAACATAAAATGACAATGCTCTCTCACAGCTTTTTGCCCAAACATGGCTACATTTTATCAACCATTACTTCAAAATAATCACCAAGAAATAAAATCTATTCACATCTGTAATCATTTCTGTCATCTCATTTTCTGCAAAACCCTGTAAAACTAACCAGTAACTGTGATTACAGAAAAGAAAGCTGAAGTAGGGCTGCTGGTTGTATGCACATGAAAAGCTGACAGAGTTCAAAACTGCTGTCACTCCAGTCCATAATCCCAGTACTGACGTGGGTTCCTGATGCTGATAGTACAAAGATAGGCACAACATTAGCTCATCTATGAAACACATGGCTGTAAGGACTACGTAGGATCTCATTACTGCTTTCTTATTAAACACTATCAGAGACAGAATTACAAAATTATCTCTGATACTCTAAGTCTGGTTTACACCTAATTTCACTGATACTGTGTTTTGTTTCATCTTGTTTCCCTTTATTACCTATTGCTCAAGATAATTTTGCACAGCATTTTAAGGCTACTTTAAAAATTAAATCACATATAGAATCAAGAATTATCTAGCTGCACCTTTTAAATTACAAACTGATAAGCACATTTTCTTGTGTTGTGAAAATAGCAAAAAGTTCTGCTCACCTAACTCCAAAATTTGAACAAGAAACAAATCTTTATTTTTAAGTACAAAGGCAGAAAGATAAGAGGGAAAAATACTGAGAGAAGGTAAGAGAAACTCAGCAGTGAGATTTTGAAATTGGTCCAAGTTCTGAAAGTTCAACTTTCAATCTAACTCCCAATAATTCTGAATGTTCAATTTTTCTACAATGTTCAATGCAATCACGAGGTGCCAAGTAAGTCCAAAGACTCTCGATCCAACATGGAAAGAGATCACAGAAATGCTTCAAAATACAAAGAAAATATTTTTATTTGTTTACCAAAGACTCTAGGAAATAATATAATAAGTTTAACAAATGCATGACAAGACACAGATTGGGTTAAAAAGCTATAGATGAATGATTTGCTTTGTTTTACTCAACCTCCCCAACATAGCAGATGGCATCTCTGGCACATTCCTAATGGAAGCGTGATGTATCCAGGTGAGAGAATGACAGTTTCCATCTATTGGTCATCATCTTTCTTTTTTTTCTTTTTCTTCTTTTTCTCTGGGCTCTGAAAGCAAACAACAAAAATATTCTGAAAAAGCTGCAAGCGGATAGCCGAGTATTAACTTTTTTTCTTATAAAGTACAAAACTTATTCTCTTGAAAACAAACTGGGGCAATCTTGAAATATAGACATATTCTTTACCTCTCTCAAAACCAATTATTGTAATGAAATCATAAAAATATTAAATGCCTATTGATTCCTGAGAGGAAAAGATTAAAATAAGGAGAGTCCAGGGCCAGTATAACAGTGCAGCCAACTAAGCGTCCACTTGTGACACTGTATCCCATTTGGGTGCCAGTTCGTGTTCTGACTGCTATGCTTCCCATCTAGCTCCCTGCACCTGTGTGGGAGATCCAGAAGGGGCTCCAGGCTTTGGCTTTTGTGACCATGTGCGGAGTGACCCATTGGATGGAAAGTATCTCCCTCTGTAAAAATCTACCTTTCAAATAAAAATGATCTTAAGAAAAAGAAAGGGGTGGTAGTAGAACCTGCCCCCACCCGTGAGTACATACTGGAATTGCTGTGCTGGTACACGGCTCTTCCTCAGAGAGCGGCTCTTCCTTAATGTGTTTCTTTTTATCCTTTTTCTTCTTCTTCTTCACAGGAGTTTCCTCTTCTACCTCTTCCACTTTATCTTCTTCCTCTTCTTCAACTGAACAGGGTCAGTGTAAAAACGTAACAATCAATCAACATCATACATCACTCCCCAAACCCTAAATCTTTTTCTGCTAATCTGGTCAACTATCCAATGGATTATGTTCATTTTATAGCTGGAAAAGTCTTTTGAGGACTGCCATAATCCCTCTACTTTCTATCGTCAACTACAATACGTCTGTTACAATAAGCTGTTACTCCCTTTACAAACTGTATTGATTTTAGAGGCCTATTCAATGATGGTAAGTAACAATGCTAAGGATAAAAATAAAGCTGGAAAGGGAACAGTTGGGGAACAGCAGTACATATGGGCACTCAAGCAAAGTGAGGACATTAATTGAAATATGCACTTATTCTTCAGGTAGAGAATAAACAGTAGAATCCCAATTTCTGGGAGTCTGTTGAGGCGGTAGGCAAATTTAAGGCTTGACCAGCAAGACCAGTATGACTAGGGTAAAATGAGCAAGAAATAAATTCAAGAACGTCTGGAGCTGCTATTTCTGAGACAGGGAAAATTTTGGAATGACAGATTAGGAATGACAAGCACATAGGCATGTTAACTTTGAAAAGCCCATTGCATATAGAATTGACATCAATCTGGAAGTTGGTGTTTCAAATGTCACTAAAGAATTTAGGGATCTGATTGCTTTCAGTAGAAGTAGAAGTACAGAAGTAAAATGACCACTTTTGACCAATAAGTTACTTAGAAACCAAGTTAATCACTCACTCGTTGCTTTAATGTGCTACTCCTGCTAGAGTAATGTGAATATGCTAAAAACACAAGTGTACCCTAATTTCAACAGAGCCCCTCCCTCATTGGTGGGCACCTTTCCACTATCATTAACAAGCCAGGCTACTGAGTATGCCACTCTTTAGTTCATAAGAGAAACAATAAAGAAAATTATTATATTCTTAAGTCACATTGAGTAAATTATCAAGTTGCCAGCAAGCATTTTGTAAGGACATGCTTATTGTTCCTACTTTCATTCCCAATATTATAACCTTTACAGTAAAAACTGAGTTTTGGTACACTTAGTATTAATACCCAAAGCCACATGTTCAAGAATATTTGTCAGATTCTTTCTGAAGTCGGATATGCTTAGTAATATCCTAACACTTCCCAGCCAAGCAAAACAACTATTTCTTTAAGGCTTACAAAATCTGTAATTCTTTAAGAGATCAGAGTGGTTACAAGTATGTAATTCAAGAGACACCAAAACATTCAAACTCACCTTTAATTTTAATCTTGGCCTTTTTCGCTTTCTTTTCAGTAACTTCACCCTCGTCATCCACTTGTTCTATTTTGCGTTTTTTAGAGCAGGTTGGAAGTGTGGAGTCACCAGAAGGATCGTAAGTCTTCACTTCACTGAAAGAGTCAAAGAGCTTTAGAGAATCTCTACAAACACCTGCAACTGAAAAAATTCTCAAGAGATGTAATGAAAATGTCAGTAGATAATACTTACATAAGCACACAATGCTGTTTCATTTTAGTAGCTTTGGGGTAGTTTATGAAGACTAATAGTTTCCAAAAGATAAAAGCATTGATATTTTTCAAGTAGGTCAATCACTTTCAAGAAGTGGTGAGCTAAGTGAATTTTGATTTAGTAATCAATGTAGTTACTATTGTACAGGAAGACAATCAGCAAATAGGGAAAATGAATGGAGAAACCTCTTAATAACTGACTAACCCAAAGGAAACTAAATCAATACAACTTTTAAAAACATTAGGTAATGAAATGAAAGAACATAACAAAAATTTAAGTCAGTTTAATACATTCAGCCCTTTTCACAAGATCCTAATAGGCATGGATATCTTTTCCCTAAAACCCAGTATTTCCTTCAGTTCTAATGTAGCAGAATGAAAATATTGAAATATTCAGTGTCGAAAATGCAAACTGATTTTCAAAATTAGTCCTTTGAAGTACTAACAGTGACAAGCATAATGGCACAGGAAACTAAAACAACATAGGTAGCTTAGCAAATGGCACCATGGTTATGTTGCCACTTGGGATGCCCGTGTCCCACACCAGAGTCCCTGCCACACTGTTTCTGAACCAGCATCATGCTAAAGTTGCAATGGGAAAGCAGCAGGCAATGGATGGTGCATCTACACAGGTCCCTACCATCCACATTGGATACTTCAACTGAGTTCCAGGCTTTTACCTGGCACAGTTCTGGCTGTTGCAGTCATTTGGAGAAGGAATGAGAAAGAAGACAAGAGATCTTTCTCTGCCTTTCAAATAAAATTTGGGGGGAAGGGAAGTGCTGCAGATCATTTTATTTTCATATGTGTGCCAGTAGATGAATTATATAATTTTAGGGGTTAAAAGCATTAATGATTTTTAAAACAAAGATTCACAGTTTTCCAATGTTGACTGTGAATTAGAGACCTTAACAATATAGGGTGGTTATAGCAAACCTGGAAGGGAAAAACAGATACAAAGAAAATGCTGATGCCCATGTAACAGTTACATTAATTTTGCAGAACATACGAAAGCATTTCTTGGCGATACGTATTTTACCATCCACAAAAACACATTTAAATAAAACGGACAAATTGAGCTTTACCACACTAATCACAATTTCACCAATACTGAACAATGCTTCCAACTAATAACCAGAACCCTTTACCCATAAACCTTCTGTTAATTTGATAGACACATCTAACTACTTCATACTTGTGAGACATTTTTACATTTGTCTTCAGTCTTTTAAGTCTTTTTTTAAAAAAAGGATTTCACTGTAGATTAACTGAACAAACTTCATGCTGTAGGGGGAACATGAAAAGAAAAATATTCACTTCTGGGAGGTGTATCATGGAGTAGCAAACACCAGCATCCTTTATCAGAGTGCCAGTATGAATGACAGATGCTCCACTTCTGATCCAGGTCCTGGCACCAGGAAAGCTGGAGGAAAATGGTTCAGGAGCTTAGGCCTGACCTAGACAGTTAGAGCCATTTGGGAGGAAACCAGAAGAGGGAAAATTCTTTTTCTCCCTCTCCCTCCCCAATTTCCAAATAAAAAAAATTTTTTAAAGAAAGATATTTACCAACAATTTCTTCAAACTAGTATGTGTGTGCAATTTAAAACTCAAAATGTGTATGGAAAATTACATGGTAAGGGAAAAAAAATTAGGACATATAAAATGACAATACACAGTTCAATTCAGCCACTCTAGAAATGCATACTCCTCAAAGCTTGTAAATATTTCATTTGATAATTTAGAGAAGATTAAAAACTAAAATTTCACATAGAAACTATTAATTCAGCCTTCCCTAAATTTACTCACCTTTTGTGTTCATATTTTTCTGCTTTTGCTAATGCCTTCCCTGTTCCACTTATTTTTCTTATCTAAAAAGAGAGCGGGAAAATACCAATAAAATTCTAAGCCATAATCGTTTTATAATACATTGTGTAGTAAATCAGTGGGCCAGCAAGAAGTAACAATTCTTGTTCCTCTGATGCCATATCTTGATGATATGAGCACTGTTTAATAATACATGAATTCTTGATAAGAGAAATTGAACAGGCACACAAAATTTTACTGAGCATACTACAGTGCATGATCATACATTACTTTTTAGCAGATGAAGGAAGTTAAACTACCACCAATCCCCTAACTTTCGACAGGTAACATTCGCAATGGGCAGGATATGGGTCTTACCCCTCTATCTTCCAAGGTCCTCAACCTGGCCTCTAATTTGGCTCTATTCTCAACTCCCATCGCAGAACTGGAGTCCTCACCAAAAGCATCATAACGAATAGCCAAAACAGTTTTGGCTGCCAGCATTCGGGAAATCTGATAGGAAACACAAAGTTTGAAGAAATCAAAGAATATTCAAAAGTGATGAGAAATAATTTACATCGGGGGGGGGGAGCAGAAAATCATCACTTTTCCCAGGATTTCTATGAGTTGCACAATTCAGGTCACCTACCATTTGACTTTCAGGTTGCAAGTAATGGCTAAACAGTTACTTTTCACTCTCAATGGTTCAGTGAATAAGAAAGAACTTACAATAGCTCATATGTGAAAGCAGCTCATAATATTCCAGTGCCTTCCATTAGTTTCTATTCAATGACACTAGTAATACATCCTAGAGTTATTCTAAAGCAAATCTATCCTCTCGCAAAGTCTTAAAAATTTTTATGGACCTTTTGAAGAAAATTCTTTTTCATCAACTTTATTGAAAAGAAAGACACACATATGCAGATATCTCCCAAGTGAGTGGCAGGAGCCCAATTACTTAGAACCATCCATTGATTTCTCTAAACAGAGCAACCAAACTAGAACAGGTAATCTGATATGATATCCTGTTCATGGTAATCAGTGGCTTAGCCCACTGAGCCACATTGCCAGATAAATAATAAACATTTTTTTACAGAACTTTTATTTTAGAAAATTCTGTTGAATTATTCATTGTACATAAAGATTTATCAAAGGATTCAACGTGGGCTAGTGCTAAGACTTAATGGGAAAAGCCACTGCCTGGGGTCTTGGATACTCCATTTTCCATCCAGCTCCCAGACTGGGAAAGCAATGGAAGACAACCCAGGTTCGTAGGCGACTGCACTCATGTGGGAGGCCGACACAAGCTCCTAGCTTTGGACCTGTCCACTTCTGGCCATTGAACCTACACTGGGAAGCTAATCTGTTGATGGGAGACCTCTTCATCTCCTCTATCACTCCTCTGACTCTTTCAAAGAAATATTTGAAATTAATATTTAAGTGAAAAATAAAAAGGATTCAGTGAGTGAATGTCAGATTGTTTCACTCATGAATGCAGTTAGAACTTGCCACAGTGAATACTACTGGTATGTCACAGCAGGGATCCTAAATTAGTTTTAACAGGACCTACAACAATTTCTTTTGACAGTACACAAAAATAATGTTACACAGTGAAGAACAGGAAAAACGGGGCCAGCACCACAGCAAACTAGGCTTCTGTCCGTAATGCCAGCATTCCACATGCGTGCCAAGTTCACGTCCTGACTGTTCCACTTGTTACGATTTATTTTTATGGGGAAGTCACAGAGAGAAAGAGACAGAGGCATCTGTCCACTGGGTCACTCCCCAAGGAGCTGCAATGGCCAGAGCTGAGCTGATCCAAAGCCAGAGCCAGGAGCCAGGAGCCAGGAGCCAGGAGCCAGGAGCCAGGAGCCAGGAGCCAGGAGCCAGGAACCAGGAGCCCTCTCTGGGTCTTCCACACAGGTACAGGATCCTAAGGCCTTGGGGCCATCCTCGACTATTTTTTCAGGTTAAAATCAGGGAAGTGGAGCCGCTGAGACAAGAACCAGTGTCCATATGGGATCCTGGCGGTTGCAAGGTGAGGATTTAGCCACTAGGTTATTGTGCCAGGCCTGATATTCACTTCTGATCCAGTTCCCTCTAACGTTCATGCCTTTCCAAATAAATCTGCATCTCACCTTCCCTTTGTGTTTAGGACTTGTCTGGCCCACAAGTGAAGCATGGTAAATGAGACCATACTTTGGGGTGTCCCGTCGAGATTTGAGGGCCCGGAAGAGTGCCTTTTCTGCTCCAAGAATCTGAACTGTAGAAGCTGCATGCTTAGCCAAATTCAAAAGAGAACCTACCAAAAGAAGGAAGCAGGTAGAAAAAACACATTTGCAAACATTTCAAAGCTCCATGGGTAAGCCTCAGGCCATGTTTCAGTATCATTTTTACAGCTGCCATATAAGTAAATATTACCTACAATTCAGAATTCTGTAGTACAGAAGTCCCAGATAATCCTTGTTTCATTTGTTATTCCTTCATTAATACAAGCCAAAGCTTAATATCCGTGTGATGATGTGATTTGCCCAAAGGATGGCATTTACATTTCAACATTCCATGAGCACAGAAACACACACACACACACACACACACACGTAAAAAAAAAATCCAAGCACTTACTAAGATTTGGGACTTAAAATATTTAATTGCCATAGATACAAAAAAAGTATAAATACAAATAATCAGATTTTTAAGGATACTTCAGTAGAACCTAATTAAGTATCCAAACTTCCAATTGTTTCAGATACAAATTATGAAGAGCTGCACCTATCAGCATACTAATCAGCAAGAGACTGCTTGTTTGGGTTGTTACACAGAACATTCTCTGTCAGAAAACATGCACCATCAATGCTATGGACTCAAACCCTACTGATGTGTTATTAAGTGCAACAAACTCAGACTTCTGTCAATCTGTGTATTTGATAGTGCTACAAGATTTGCTGCACCTGAGATGTAGAAAAGACAGTGTAATTAATACCAGATGAAATTTTAAGATTCATTTTAGCTATGTGAACGGCAGAAGAGAAAAAGATCTTCTATTTGCTGGTACACTCCCCAAATGGCTAAAACAGCCAAAGCTGCGTGCCAGGCTGAAGCCAGGAGCTTCTTCCAGTTCTCCCACATGGATGACATGGGTCCAAATACTTGGGTGGTCTTTTGCTGCTTTCCCAGGCAAATAGCAGGGAGCTCAATGGAAGCAGAGCAACCAAGACAGGAGTCAACACCCACATGGGACGATGGCAACACAGGTGGCAACTTCATGCAATACACTATGCTAGTACAGGAATCCTAGACTATTCTAGACCTACAACCCAGGACAGCTAACTGAAAATTTTATAAAATAATACAGTTAATAAAGCCACACTAGTCTTAAATACCCAGATGAATGCATTGTAATACCTTCATCAGAATCAGAAAATTTAACTATACATTGAATCTATTCCAATTAACTGTAACAAGCTTCTAACGATGGACCGTAAGTGTCTCAGAAGAGGTAGTGACTAAAGATGCCTTCATTATCCAAAAGGAAATCAGGCAAACAAACAAATATCATCATTGAACACTTGGTCCTTAGCCCACACCCATATGCAACTTACCTATTTTTATCAACTAAACTATTGTTAATAACTAAAGATTTAAAATAAAAAGCCATAAGAAAAACCCAAACACTTAATTTATAAATCACATGAAAAGCGTCACCTGCATGAGCAATAAGCCGTGCTCCAACTAATTCCCCGACCATGACTGTGACATTGGGTGCAATGGCCATCATGCGATTCTGCAGATATTCATAGAGCTGGGTTCTATATTCAGAGATTTCAATCACCTAGTACAGAGAATAAAGAAGTCACAAATAAGGGAAAAAATACCAGATTCACACAGCTTCAATATTAGGAGAGTCCTGACTTATCAAAGACCAGCTGCTCAACACTGGGTAGATTTATTCTTGATTCCACTCTTCAATAATTTCTTCAATATTGCTCTTATGTTTCAAAACTCCAAAGGTTAGACACTGAGTCATTATTTTTAGGATTTTTGTGTATAGTACAGGCTATACCAAAAAAATAAGCCTTATTTCCTTGAATGCCAATGGATTCTTGATTAATAGCTGATGCTTACACAAATTGTTACTTTATCTCTCCTTGCCTTTGTGTCCTTGAAACTAAGATGGCATCAGATGAGGTAGTGACTGAACACCCTCATATTTAGATTGTCAGGTGAACCCAAGTGGGAGAATCATCATTGCCATCAGAAAATTAGTATTACAGAGCTGGTATCACTACTAGATTTTCTACAGGGCTAACTGACCTGGGTGCAAAGATGCAGAATGTTGCAAATATCTTCTTCTGAAACTTCTGTGCCCATAGATATTTCTGCAGCTGCTTTCACTTCAGCTTCAACTTCTTCTGGGAGCAGTTCAGAAAGTGTAGCAGAAGCATAGTTCTTCCTATCGCCTATAGTGTTTGCAGAGGATGAAGGAGAATCACTCTTCAACAAATTATATAAAATCCGCCACAATATTCAAAAGAAAAAGTAGAGATAAGCCAATGAAAAGGATGCCTAAACAAAACAAAAAGTGAACAAGTTTGCCCTGGTATTGTACTTAGGTAAAGGCTTTCCTTTAGAGACAAAAATCTTCCATCTTCACTGGAAAAAATAACTAAAAATTACGACATAATACCCAATAAGAACTTGAGAAAGGACAGCATAAGACTAACAAAACTGAAAAAGAGAATTTTGGACTGAAAGTGGGGCTGGTAATGCTCAGGATTTGCTCACGTCCACAGCTCCCTCTCTTAGTGACTAACACTCCTCAGCTGACATTCAAGACCAACAAAAATTCCCAAATCAGTGAACCTCTGTCGCATAACCTACCAAAAGCCAAGTCAGAAGCACTGTTTCTGAAGTCTAAGTCATTAAATGCTCACATCTCCCAAAACACAAAGAACTTGTAAAAGACCCAGGGAATTTCATGAAAAATCTACTTTAATTCATTTTTTAGGATTCAATCAAATTCAGTTCATTTCAGTGCCTTAAGAAAATACACAAATAACTCACCAACTTTCTGTAAACACTTGCAGTATGTCAAATTATCCGAAATAATTTTTCCTAATTCAGGGAAATGCCAGCCATACCATTCTCTACATCGCATAATATAGTTATTTAGTTCTTTATCCAGGTCATCCAACAACGCTGTAGATTAAAACAACAGGTATTAAGTGACAATACTACTGTAACAATATAGGGCAAATCAGGGCAGGCGGGCATTGAGGTCATAGAAGGAGGAAATCCCAGAGCCAAGTCTTTGGTTTTGCCTGATCACCTGGCTGCTATAAACGCTACTGCTATGAACACAGGCATAGTTACTCAGAATGCCCGACTCAGCTCTTCCGGAGAGAAGGGGAGGGCCTTGTGGCTCCTTTGCTTCTCATCCAGTTGGATGGCTCAGTATTTGGGTTCATGTCAATCAGAATGAGTTCTGGGCTCCAGATTTCAGCATGCCCAGTATAGCCCATTGTGTCCATTTAGGGATAAATCAGCACACAGAAGATCTCTCTCCCAATCTCTCTGCCTTTTAAAAAAATAAAATTCAAAGAAACACTCTTATGGGAACATATTTAGAGGAGAGATTTGCTAGCACACAACTTTTACAATTGGGAAACTAAGGACAAAAATGTTCCTAAAAAATCACTGGGTGGGATAATAACCCTCTACAGAGCCAAGCAGCAAAAAGTGAATACATAACAATATACTTTTTTTGTAGAAAAAAAGTGGCCTATATGTTAGTGTGATTCACATTATCTCTAGTCAAATTATGGCTAGTTTACTCTACGTAGCTGTAGTGTTTCTCCAATTTGCTTCCATTCATTTCATATTCTAGCTAATTTTTTTGAAGATTTATTTTTATTGCAAAGACAACCCAAATATATGGAGAGGTAGAAAGATCTTCCACTCACTGGTTCACTCCCCAGTGGCTTCATTGGCCAGAAGTGGGCTAATCCAAAGCCCAGGAGTCAGGAGGTCTTGGTTCATCCTCTCCTGCTTTTTCAGGTTACAAGAAGGGAGATAGAAGGGAAATGGAGCAGCTGGGACATTAACAGGAATTCATACAGGATCCCAGTGCTTTCAAGGTGAGGATTAGCCAATGAGCCATCACACCCAGCCCTGATCTTTCTTAGCATTATCTTAAACAGTTTCAATTAAAAAAAAAAAGATAGCTTCAATAATAAGATAATTTCACAAAGATAAGCATATTAGATTTTTCATATACCATACTTACAAATAGCCTGAACAATCATTGTGTCCACTTTATCAGCACTAAATTTCAACCTATACCGAGACAGGCTGTAAACAGAAAATAGCAAGTCATTAAGGCAGTATTAAGAAAAAGCACTTAAATTAACACTTCTAAAAAAACATTTTTTTAAAGGTTTATTTATTTATTGGAAAGTCAGATATACAGAGAGGAGGAGAGACAGAGAGGAAGATCTTCCATCCGATGATTCACTCCTAAAGTGAGTGCAATGGCCGATGCTATGCCGATCTGAAGCCAGGAGCCAGGAGCCACTTCCAGGTCTCCCATGCGGGTGCAGGGTCCCAAAGCTTTGGGCCATCCTTGACTGCTTTCCCAGGCCACAAGCAGGGAGCTGGATGGGAAGTGGGGCCGCAGGGATCAGAACCCGCGCCCATATGGGATTCTGGCGCGTCAAGGCGAGGACTTAAACTGCTAGGCCATGCCACCGGGCCCCAAATTAACACCTTTTAAAAACTGCATTTTTCAGCAACTATTATGGAATTTCCTTGAGAGTACCACTGTGTACCAGAATCACGTTTTTTTGTTTTTTTTTTTTTTTGCTATGTGTTCTTAAAATCTTTGCAAATACAATCTGTATTCGGTCTCCCATTGTTGAGTGGAAAAATGTGAATGAGCTTTTGCTTTCACAATTTAATAATAAATATTCATCTATAAAAAAGTGTCTTTTTTTTTTTTAAGCTAGCTCTGACACTTATTACAGCTACTTGCTACAGTCTGGCAGTCCACAGGCGATGGCTCGAGTATTTGTCTTCCTGACACCCAAGTGGGAGGCATGGATTGAGTTTTGGGCTCTTGGTCTCAGGCTAGTCTAGTCAGGTTGCGGTAAGCATTTGGGAGAATGAAGCACACTGGTCTCTGGATGCTTTTCAAATTACATTGTGTTAGTTTTCTAATTAGAAAGATTCACTAAGTAAGAAGTACATTACCAAAATTCTGAAATATACATCCTGCTAGATCATTTCTTTAAAAATAAATAAATACTTATTTATTTTTTTTTAAAGATTTATTTTTATTGTTTTTCATTGGAAAGGCGGATATACAGAGAGGAGAGACAGAGAGGAAGATCTTCCGTCCGATGATTCACTCCCCAAGTGAGCGCAACGGGCCGATACTATGCCGATCCGAAGCCAGGAGCCTCTTCCGGGTCTCCCACGCGGGTGCAGGTTCCCAAAGCCTTGGGCCGTCCTCGACTGCCTTCCCGGGCCACAGGCAGGGAGCTGGACGGGAAGCGGGGCTGCCGGGATTAGAACCGGCGCCCATATGGGATCCCGGGCGTGCAAGGCGAGGACCTTTAACCACTTGCGCCACCGCGCCGGGCCCCTTATTTATTTTTATTCAAAAGATTTACAGGGGACCCGGCGCGGTGGCGCAGTGGTTAAGGTCCTTGCCTTGCACACCCGGGATGCCATATGGGCGCCGGTTCTATCCCGACAGCCCCGCCTCCCTTCCAGCTCCCTGCCTGTGGCCTGGGAAAGCAGTAGAGGAGGCCCAAAGCTTTGGGACCCTGCACCCGTGTGGGAGACCTGGAAGAGGCTCCTGGCTTCGGACCGGCATAGCATCGGCCCGTTGTGCTCACTTGGGGAGTGAATCATCGGATGGAAGATCTTCCTCTCTGTCTCTCCTCTCTGTATATCAGCCTTTCCAATAAAAATAAAAAATAACTCTTAAAAAAAAAAAAAAGATTTACAGGGAGAAGAAAAGACAAAAGAGGGAAAAAACATCCTACTGGTTCACTCCCCAAACGGCCAAAATTGGGAATAAGGAGCTTCTTCCAGCTCTCCCACAAGGGTATAGGGTCCTAAGTAACTGGAACATCTTCCACTGCTTTCCAATGAAGTAAGTAGGGAGCTGGATGGGAAGTGGAGCAGCCAGGACATGAACTGTTATGCACATGGGATATTGGCACATGATGCCTGTTGAGCCATGGTGCCAGCCACTAGCCTGTATTTCTGCAACGTTTAGTTTGTGTATGAATGAAAAACAAGTTAATACTACTACCTAATTTAGCAACAGCCATACTAGCTAATGATTTTTTTTCCTGCACATTGATGCTTTATGTCACCTAACTGTCACACTCTAACATCCAGAAACAGTATTGTGAGTACTTCTGGGATAGTTGTAGGAGCTGCCCATGTTCACAAATATCATTGACCTTGCCCCACAGATGTTATTGGCTGATCAACTCTACCTCCATTTGGGGTCATTATCAAATGTTGCGAAGGAAACATGACTGCAGTGATTGAACCAATCAATCACAGCTCTGGATTTTGACAGTTTTCCTACTTGTAATGCCTACTACCATGTTCCTCCAGACCTTTGTATATTCTGCTCTTACCTCTGCATCTCAGCAACTTCAGTTCCTTTCATGAGTTTGTGTATCTTTACATTTACAGGTATACAGCTTTGTTTACTGTAGTATTTATTCATTCACTGAACAGACTGACAGAAAGAGCTGTCATTTCCAAGCTTACTCCTGCAATGCCCATAATGGCCCATCAGGCAAACGCTGGGAGCTATACAAACACCTCCACGTGAGCGGCAGAAACCCAGTTCTAGAAGCCTTAACCACTGCTTCCCAGGCTTGGCAGGAAACTGCAGTCAGGAGCCAGGCTGCACTGCTTTGAAGCAGTCTGCCCTTAGCTCTTCACTTTCATTACAGAGCATTTCATAGCAAAGTAGTAATGCCTGTTCCAAGGGAAATTCAAACTTAGGAGGGACAGTTTTGGGAATTCTACACAGAGCTTATCAGAATGTAGGTCCATGTGCGGATCCCCACTAGCTACACAGATCTTGACCATCAGCTATTTAATAAGGCTGGTGCAGATTTAACACTTACAGGTATCTTTAGTTCAGTGCCTAACACATTTTTGGATTAAAAAAACTTTAATTTCAGGCCCGTCATGGTGGCCTAGCAATTAAAGTACTTGCCTTAAACTCACAGGGATCCCATATGGGTGCCGGTTCTACTAATCCAGGCAGCTCTACTTCCCATCCAGCTCGGCTTGTGGCCTGGGAAAGCAGTCAAGGATGGCCCAGACTTGTGACCCTGCACTTGTGTGGGAGACCTGAAGAGGTTCCTGGCTCCTGGCTTCGGATAGGCACAGCACCTGCTGTTGCAGTCCTTTAGGGAATGAATCATCAGATGAAAGATCTTCCTGTCTCTCCTCCTCTCTGTATATCTATCTTTCCAATAGAATAAATCTAAACAAACAAACAAACAAACAAACCTGTAATATCTAGTCATTCTTACCTGTGAGCCAATCCAAGACACATAGCTGCCATTTCACGTGGTTCTACCCCAGGGATTAATCCATCCATTTGTGAACGAATTCCTCTCATGAGTTCATTAACAACAGGGCTGTGGATACAGCTGAGATTCAACTTTTCCTACAAGAACAAAAACATTTCTATTTTTAAAAATTTGCTGGAATTACCAGATATTAAAATAGCATTAAACACGTGATCTGTTTGACAAAATTTTAAATGTAATGGGTCTCTACAAGCTACACCTGAGCACATATAAGCTCCCCCGAAGACACCTTGAGTGTACAAACTAGGCTATAAAAGAACAAGCCCACCAGCGTTGTGCCATAGCACGTTAAACTTCACCTGCAACCACAGCACCCCTTACAGACACAGCTGTTCCATTTCCAATCCAGTTCCCTGCTAATGCACCCAAGAAAGCAGAAGATGGCCAAAGTCTCTCACATGGGAGACTCGAAAGCAGCTCATTCTCTCTTCTAGTTTTTCAGTAGGTGAAAATAAATGAATACCTAATTAAAAATACTTCACACAGGAAATATTTACAAAGAACTACTTACAAGATTACTAAATGGGAAAAAACCAGTTATTAAATGAGTAAGATTCAAATAACAGGCTCCTTCTCTACAATACAGCATCCCTTAATTATTTCCAAAATCATACACATGGTAATGTATACACATTGATCACTTTTATAAGTTAAGAAATTATTTAACACGCAGTTGCAGAGGCAGGCAGGGAGATTTCCCATCTGCTGATTGTCTCCAGCCAGGTAGAATCTGGATTTTCTAGATGGGTGCAGAGGCCTACACACCAGGCCATCTATCTTCTGTTGCGTTCCCAGGAACACCAGCAAGGAGCTGGATGGGAAATAGAGCAAATGGGACGCAAACAAGTGCCCAGATGGAGTGCTGTTGCTTTAGGCAAGTTTAACCCACTCTACCACAATCCTTTAAAGAGTGTTTAAGATTTAAATAGTTTAATTTCACTTTACATATACAATGAACATGCAAATTATACTTTTCACTATGCTTAAGAACAATATTTAGCAGTTCATAAATTCTTTTTTTATTTTTTTTTAATTTTTTTTATTATTTTTTCATTGGAAAGGCAGATATACAGAGAGGAGAGACAGAGAAGAAGATCTTCCGTCCGATGATTCACTCCCCAAGTGAGCACAACGGGCCGATACTATGCCGATCCGAAGCCAGGAGCCTCTTCCGGGTCTCCCACACGGGTGCAGGGTCCCAAAGCTTTGGGCCGTCCTCAACTGCTTTCCCAGGCCACAGGCAGGGAGCTGGAAGGGAAGCGGGGCTGCCAGGATTAGAACCGGCGCCCATATGGGATCCCGGGCGTGCAAGGCGAGGACCTTAACCACTTGCGCCACCGCGCCGGGCCCCAGTTCATAAATTCTTACACAAATCACAAGCATACTTTTAAAACTGAGAAGCTGCAAAGAAAAAACGTGGATACAACAAACTCACCATTCAGCAACACATCTTTCTGTAACTGTGATTAACACATATGTACACATTCACTCTAGCACTAATATCTAAATTACATTCTCAGACTTTGTTACTCTTGTACATAATGTATATATGCTACACTGATATGGAATTAGAATGTTTTAGTTCATACAATACTTAAGAGGTCTGCTTTCTTTCTAAAATGCTAATTCTAGAATGAATAAGCATAATTATGTGCTTCATTCTACTTATTTTAGTAGAAATTAATTATTGTCTATCCTAAAGGAGAAAAAAACAAGGATAAAGGTTTATGATAAGCAGCCTATTACAAAGACAAAACTTTCAAGTCAGTTGTACAAGAGCTCTAAGAAGCAGGCCTGAAAAAAAACCATGACTTTACCTTTATGACTCCTCCCAGCTTAGCATCAGCTACAGCCAGAGGCTCATGAGCTTCTTTTACTATTTTCTTCAGAACCTTCTTCAGCTGCTTATTGATTTTGCCCTCCATCAAAGCTGTGAATGCTTTTCAGGAAAAAAAAAGAAACAAGAGTTAACTCAGATTTTAACTGTGATGGCTTATCTTAAATTGAAAAATAAAAATAATAATGAGCTATACAAACATCATCAAAAATAAAATGGTTAAAATGTGCCCTTTGAAAAAGCCAAAATTTACACTGCTTCTGAAACGTGTAAAGGTGCACACTATACAATCCCCACTGACCTACCCTTGTTTCTTCACCAGAGCCAGGGGTGGAAGCAAGCTCAGGGTTCCTTCCTCTGGGCTAAACAAAACCTCCTGGTCTCAGAGAATTATGAACTGTTAGAAATCATCTACTCAAAGAAGACAGATTTGCTTTCCTACGTCACATTAGATAGACTGGCTTGATGCTCTAGATTGTGAAACATGCTAAAATATTAAAATCGGCAAACGGAGTGAGCTCTTCCAGAGTGCTCCACGGGCTTATGTATATAATCTCCAACAAAGATGAGTTGTAAACCTCCAGTGATCAACAATGTACTAACTTATACCTCTCATTCTTCCTTAGAGCAATGCTTCCATTTTCTGAACTTTCATCTGGGGATAACATTTGTCTGGCTTCTGGTTGAGGTTAAAGTATGCCTGGCAGGAAGAAAAGTCATAACTTGTGAGGTAATTTGTGTTTTATAAGCCTAGGACATGGGGAACTCAAGGTAAGTAACCCACATAGGGGCTCTGGACCCAAGTACTTGAGCTAACACCATTGCATCCTAGGGTGCAAATTAGCAAGAAGAAAGACTGCAAGTAGAGCCAGGACTCAAATCAAGCACTCCCCGCCATATGACATGTGAGTGTTTTAAACAGTACCTTAACTGCCACACCAAATGCATGCTCCAAAAATTAAAGTATTAAAATTCAACTTCTTGCTCATTGTTCTTAATCTCCAGTATCATCTATGGACTACTTCAGCCAGGGGATTCTGGAGAGATTTCATTGTGCTTAGAATGGTGAGATCGGCAGCAATTCAGAACTGTTTAACTACGAAAACGACTTAAGCAGTGTCCTCAGAGCATGCCCCACACTGGGAACCCTGGGATGTTTGGGAGGTGGGGTGGGGCTTCTCCCTTTATCTCACCCCAGATAAAAGAAAGGAAAGAGGAGGGAATGTGGAAACAATGGTTTTACCCACTTTCCTATAGCCCTTGACCATTTTTTGCCCTAATCAATTATGTAAAGGTTATAAAAGTAATTTTAAAATAAGCGGTTTGTTTAAAAAATGTATTTCTTAAACATAAAATGTATATTCTACATCCTTTCTTACATTTATACTTTTTCCTTTAAAAATTTTTTCGTATTTAATGTCTCCCAAGACAAAATATGATAGATCAGCCCTGAGAAAGATATATTTTTGAAATGAGATAATACATTTTCTTTAAAAAATAGTTAATTATGGTACATAATACAAAAAATACGAGGACTCAAAATAAACTTTTCCACATAAATGGCAAATGAATTCCAGCCACTAAGACCCATTCTTGACATAACACACTCAGATTCTTCCCAAAACTACATGGATGAAGTCATGTACCAAGCCAACTACTGCTACCTTGGTTTTATCATGTCCCAACTGCCATATAGAGGAAACGGGAAGTTGATTCCTACGAAAGAACTCTGCCTTCTTAGTGATGCTCATTTTTATGGTACAAACAGGAACACGCACTGTAGAGATTTCTATTAGATTCTTGAAAGAGCTCAGTCTTTCTCATTTATACTGAAATATTTACTATTATCACTACTGTGTTAGAAACTAAGGTTCTGACTATGATACAACCTCTATCTTCACAAAACTTAAGCTGAGGTGGTTTGACTTTAAATTCTCACCTAGTTTGTAATTTTCTCATTTACCTGTTTCACAGAACACAAAAAAGTTACAAAGGGGAATTCAATGATTCAGATCTCTGGGATTGTGTCAAGAATTAAATGACAAGCTTGAAGTGATAAGCACAAATCTGACAACAATATGTGGACGATAGAGGAGCTATTAATACTAACTTGTGAGTGCTTGGTACAGAACACTGACTCATCGCAGAGCGCCTGCTTTCACTTCTGGCTCTGTCATTTTTTCCCTCTCTGCTATCAACCTATCCTCCTGCTTCCGTCCATCCTGGGAGGCTGCAAAGGACAATGGTAGTATTCCCAGACCCTGGCATCCACACGGGGTTCTAGGTTTCTGGCTTTTGCTTGGCCTATCCTTTAGGGGAAGTGGATGCAGGTTCTTTTTTCAGTCTGCCTTTCAAACACAATGAAAGAAAATAGGTAAATAAATGCATAAGTGCAACAAAAAAAACCCACTTCACGAATGAACTCTCATTCATCTTTACATTTTTTAAAAGATTTACTTTTTTATTGGAAAGTCAGATATACAGAGAGGAGGGGAGACACAAAGAAAGATCAGTTCATTGATTCAATCCCCAAGTGACTACAACAGCCAGAGCTGTGCTGATCTGAAGTCAGGAGCCAGGAGACTCTTCCAGATCCCCTATGTGGGTGCAGGGTCCCAAGGCTTTGGGTCGACCTCCACTGCTTTCCCAGACTACAAACAGGGGGCTGGATGGGAAGTAGGACCACGGGGATTAGAACCAGAACCCATATGGATCCCAGTGTGTGCAAGGCAAAACTTTAGGCATTAGGCTACGGTGCCGGGCCCTATTTTCAACATAAAATGATTGGTCTAAAATATCTTCAACGGGGAATGGCAGTGTGGTGCAACAAGTAAAGCTGCTGATTCCAATGCTGGTATCCCATAGCGTACTTGAGAAAAAAGTGGAAGATGGCCCAAGTACATGAGCCCCAGAGTCCAGGTTCCTAGACTGGGCAGGGCCCAGTCCAGGATATTGCAGCCATTTGGAGAATGAACCAATATAGGAAAGTTATTGGGCCTGGCCAGGTAGTCTAGTAGTTAAAATTCTCACCTTGTATGTACTGCAATACCATATGGGCACCACTTCTAATCCCAGTGGCCCCATTTCTCATCCAGCTTCCTGCTTGTGGCCCAAAGCCTTGGGACCCTGCACCCGCATGGGAGACCTGGAAGAGGCTCCTGGCTTCAGATTGGCACAGCTCCGGTCACTGGGGCCAGTTGGGCAGTAAATCAATGGACAGAAGACGTTCCTCTCTGTCTCTCCTTATCTCTGTATATTGTCTTTCCAATAAACGAAATAAAAAAAAAAAAGTTATTGGACCCTGCATGATAGCATAGTGGTTAAAGTCCTCGCCTTGAACTTGCCGGGATCATATATGGGTGCCAGTTCTAATCCCAGTGGCCACACTTCCCATCCAGCTACCTGCTTGTGGCCTGGGAAGGCAGTCGAGGACGGCCTAAAGCCTTGGGACCCTACACCCGCGTGGGAGACCCGGAGGAAGTTCCTGGCTCCTGGCTCAATTGGCGCAATACTGACCGTTGTAGTTACTTGAGGAGTAAAGCATCAGATGGAGGGTCTTCCTCTCTCTCTTCCTCTCTGTATATCTGCCTTTCCAATAAAAATAAATAAATCTTGGCCCGGCGTCGTGGCCTGGCGGCTTGGGTCCTTGCCTTGGACACACCAGGATCCCATATGGGCACCGGTTCTAATCCAGGCAGCTCCACTTCCCATCCAGCTCCCTGCTTGTGGCCTGGGAAAGTAGTCAAGGCCAGCCCAATGCTTTGGGATCCTGCACCTGTGCGGGAAACCTGGAGGAAGTTCCTGGCTACGGCCTCTGGAAAGGCACAGTACCAGCTGTTCTGGTCACTTCGGGAGTGAATCATCAGACGGAAGATCTTCCTCTCTATCTTTCCTCCTCTCTTTATATCTGACTTTGTAATGAAAAAAAAAAAAAATCTTTTAAAAAATATGTGATTCCAGTATGATATCCCACATGGGCGTCAGTTCAACACCTTGCTGCTACACTTCCTGTCTAGCTCCCACTGTCCTGCTTGGTAAAGCAGTAGAGGATGGCCCAAGTGCTTGCATCCCTGCACCCACGCAGGAGACCCAGAAGAAGCTGTTTTCTTCTGGCTTTGGACCTGCTCCAGCCAATGGGCCATCTGGGGAGTCAAATAGCAGGTGGAAGATCTGTCTCTCCTCTCTCTACCTTTCAAATGAATAATTAAATCTTAAAAAAAGACAATTTTTCTCTGTTACTTCTTCCCTGTCACTGTCTTTCAAATAAATCATGATTTTTATATATATACATATGTATATATGTATGTGTGTATATATATATATATAAAGGTTTATTTATTTATTGGAAAGTCAGATATACAAAGAGGTAGAGAGACAGAGAGGAAGCTCTTCCATCTGTTGATTACTCCCCAAGCAGCTGCAACGGCCAGAGCTCATCCAATCCGAAGCCAGGATCCAGGAATTTCCTCCAGGTCTCCCACGTGGGTGCAAGGTCCCAAAACATTGGGCCGGCCTTGACTGTTTTCCCAGGCCACAAGCAGGGAGCTGGATAGGAAGTGGGGCTGCCAGAATTAGAACTGGTGCCCATATGGGATCCCGACACATGCAAAGCAAGGACTTTAGCCACTAGGATATTGTGCCGGACCCATAAATTGTATCTTTAAGAAAGAAATGTCCCAAATAGAAGAAAAAGGAATTTACAAGAGCCCAATTATCAGTGCTACAGCTCTTCAAAATTCCAGTTGTTCTTAATGTATTTCATGTAGACAGCACCCCCTACAGCTAAAACATGGCTAATACAATCCTGCTTGTGATTTCACCCATACTTAGGGCTCCTATGTGGCTGTAACTGCTGATGTGTTGGTGAAGGAGCCCCAGATAATAATTCGTAAAGAATAAAGAAACAGGCCCCATAATTGGGTCTACATTCAGCTGATCCCTCTGCTAAGGCACGTTAGTGTTCCAGAATATTTAGCTGGATTCCCAGTCTTCACACTGGAAACTATATCCCTCCCATGGATGGATACAATTACTTACATTTGTCAAAATCTTGGCTAGTTTAAAATAAGTCTTCCTCATACTTTTTTATTTTCAAGTTACACTACCAACTAACCGGTCTGTGATTCAGAACTTAAGAAACCAAGAAGCTAATAATTTGGATTTTATATCTGTCCTTGCTATTTTATCCCACACTTGGTCTACTATAATTAATTATAAATCTAGCTGAAGGATAAACAATCACATCCTTTTAGATCAACAAAATTCTTGAGCTTTTCAGCACCTTTTTATTAAAATTGCAGCCAGCCAATCAACTGAAAGAACTTCTTTTAGTTTCCTTTTTACTATTGATTTTTCTCGGCTAACAGTTTTCAATCGTGATTATAGCGTTTCTCAACTGTATTCCTGGACTCCAATGACAAGAGAGCCGTGCACTTGCCCACATTACCTTGGTCCCTTGCAGAAGAGCTTTTACTGAATTGTGCTTCAGCATTATGCTATTGGTTTCCACAGGGAGATCAAATTAACCACTGCTCACCTCTCATCGCATGAGGGAAAACAGCCCTATGGTGAAAAAAGCTAACTCAATGTTGTCTCAGTGGTAGTGACGAATTTGAGTCAGATCACTTAAATTCAGTTCCATTGAGAATGCATCATTGACAACATTGAGTAAGATTAACTCAGGTAACTGAATCAAACACCGTTCAACAAGCAAACCAATAACCAGTTTTCAAAAGCAAAACAAAACAAAAAGCTCTAATCTTTAACTTTACCTGCTAAGGCTTCTGCTGTATCCTGAAATTTCTCAAAATGTTTTAGCTTTACTCTAAAATTAAAAAGAGAAAGAACCAAGTTATGGGCATGCATTGATTTCTGCAAAAGCTACCTAGCTGGAAAAGCAGTGTTGAATGTTTTTCAAAGCACACACCAATACAGAAATTTGTCTACCATTGGTTGTCAGGGCAAGGTTACAACTTCTTTATAACATGACCAAGTTTTCCAAATGTTACGCCAGTAATGTCTGAACAAGTTTGCAAGTAACTTAGGCCAAAAGTAAGGAACACACAGAAGAGTTTTAACATATAGCATAAAATTCACTCAAGAAAAAAAAAAAAACATATATATATATGTAGTTAGATCAGATTCCAGTTAACCCCTTTTATTCCTGATATGTTAAGTTCACGGCAACATTTCCCAGTTAATTCATTGCTGTCTCAGTGGTAGTGACGAATGCTTGAGTCAGATCACTTGGATTCAGTTCCAACAATACATCATCGACAACAATGAATCAAAGCATGTAACTCTTTCAAAAGAAGAACTGGGGCCAGTGGAAGACAGTCTGTATTCCTGGTCACCTGCCACCTACATGGAAGACTGGAAAGAATTCCAGGCTCCTGGCTTTGACTTGGCCAGTCCCAGCCATTGCAGTCATGTGGGAAGGAAATCAGACAACAGAATATCTAACTCAGCCTTTTAAACAATCATAATAAAAGAAAAACTAGTCTTCCATTTGCCAAGTATAGTGATATTTTTAAACATGGTTTCCTTTGAGCCCAACGCAGTAGCCCAGTGACTAAAGTCCTGTGCATTTCCATCATTCCATATAAGCACCAATTTGTATCCTGATTGCTCCATTTCCCATCCAGCTCACTGCTATGGCCTGGGAAAGCAGAGTAGAACGGCCTAAGCCTTGGAACCCTTGCATACAGGAGGGAGACCTGGAAGAAACTGCTTGCTCCTGGCTTTGGATTGGCTCAACTCTGGCCATAGCAGCTACTTTGAGAGTGACCCAGCAGATTCTTTCTCTTTGCCTCTCCTTTACTCTGTAAATCTGACTTTGCAATAAAACTTTAAAAAAAATAACAAAGTTTTCCTAAGTAGTAAGGGAGCACAGGGGTGGTTCCTTAAGTAACACACTTAAATGGGTTGAAAGTTCGTTCAACTCCCTACTTGTATCAGCAGCATCACCACTGACGTATTTAGGCTCTTGTAGAATATTTATCTGTGCAAATGCTACAACTCCATGGTTTTGTTTCTGTAGTTGCTTCGTTTACCATTTAGTTGGGTTTTAACACTCCCCATGAGATTAAGAATCCTACTTTAGTGCCAGCAGCAGCAACAGGTTAATTATCAAACACTCGCTGGCATCAATGAACATAATTAGATATGGATCTCCCCAAAGCCACAAGCATCAAGCAGATCAGCCAAGGCCTCATGGATAGACCACATTCACCAAATGAGCTAATTCAACTGTTCAGCTGTCAGCTATGTCCCACCACTCAAGGCATAGTCTGGGCAAAGTTACACTGCATCTCATGCCAAGGAGAAACTCCCACATCTTGCTGGTTCTCTTATAAAACAGAATAGCAGAAAGCACAAATCATTCCATGCTTCGAATAATTAACAACCTTTCAAGAAGAAGTTATACTTAACTCCTAATCTGTGCTTCCAAATCTCCTGTAAAATAGGAATGCTGGGGTGCTGTTCAATCCAGCATGCAACTAACAAAACTATTAGAAATACTCTATATTACACATGAAACATCTATAACCATAACAGTATTTTCCTTGAAACAGTAAAAAAAACGTGCAAGACAAATAAGCTTTTACTAAATCATTATTTTCAAGATTACTTACATTTTATTTGCTTTTTCTGGAGTTTCAAATTCTTTCCACAAACTGTCAACCTCCTGAAGTTTCTTCTCATTTAGAACCTGAGGTTAAAAAAAAAGTATGCTTTAAACAACAAAGTCACTTAACTCCTCAAGTACAACCATACAGGCAGAATGGAGTGGTAACAGCTATTTTTCTCACTAAAACAGAAAGCTAATTTCTCATTTATATATACCATCAATTCTAAGCTATATCTGTGACAAATTTTAAAATAAAGAAGAAAAGAGGGTGGTGTTTGTACTGTGGTACAGCAGGTAAAGGTGGGGCCCTACATCTATATGGGAAACCAAGAAACTCCTGGATCTGAGCTTCAGTCTGACCCAAACCCAGCCACCGTAGATGCTTGGGGAGTGAACCAACCGATGATAAGCCTCTCTCGTACCTCCTCTCCAACTCTATCCTTCAGAAAGAGGGGATAGGACCCAGTGAGATAGCATATTGGTTAAGGTCCTCGCCTTGAACGCACCAGGATCCCATATGGGTGCTGGTTCTAATCCCGGCGGCCCGCTTCCTATCCAGCTCCCTACTGATGGCCTGGGAAAGCAGTCATGGATGGCCCAAAGCTTTGGGAGCCTGCACCTGTGTTGGAGACCCAGAAGAGCCCGTGGATCCTGGCTTCGGATTGGCTCAGCTCCAGCCATTGCGGCCACTTGGGGAGTGAATCATTGGAGGGAAGACCTTCCTCTGTCTCTCCTCTCTCTGTATATCCGCCTTTCCAAGAAAAATAAATAAATTCTTAAAAAAAAAAAAAAAAAGAGGGGATAGCTAATCAATCATCCGTTGTCATTAATCTATAGGTATAGATCCTTTAAGACTCTTGGGATGTTTGTGGTAACATTTAATGCAAAACTTCAGCAAAACGCACTTATCAGAAGTGTATTTTAGAGGGCTTAACCACCTAGAATTGCAATGTAGAATAGTCATTACTAATATCTAAAATATTTCTATTTTTTTAATGTTTTAGGAAATACTTTGTATACGCATATATATTATTTCTGTAGGAAAAGTTACTGGAAGTAGAATTAATAATCTAGGATTTGCACAGTTTGTGTTGACAGATACTATCAACTACTTTCTTCAAAAAATAAAAGACTGTATATTTATTTGAAAAGTAAAGAGTAAGTGTGTGTACACTGACTGACTCACTCTCCAAATAAACCACAATGGATCGGCTCAGTTCCGGCCACTGTAGCCACTTAGGGAGTGAACCACAGACAGAAGATCTTTGTCTCTCTTTCTCTGTAAATATGACTTTCCAGTAAAGATAAATTAAAAAAAATTTTTTTAATTCTCATTGTCCTCTACACCCTTATCAATCCACCTGAGATTAGTCAAATGTCCAAGATGCAACCAATCCTAAAACGCATCCACCCTACATATTTACCACATCTGAACCTCAAATGTCTTGTTTTAATACATTTTCATTTGAAAGACAGATTTACAGAGAGAAGATGCAGATCTTCTGTCCTCAGGTTCACTGCCCAAATAGCCACAATGACCACAGCTGAGCCGATCTGAAGCCAAGAGCCAGGAGCTTCTTCTGGGTCTTCTACACAGGTGGCAGTAGCCCAATGCTCTGGGCCATCCACTATTGCTTTTCCAGGCTACACACAGGGAGCTGGAGGGGAAGTGGCATAGCCAGGACACAAACCAGAGCCCACATGGGAAGTCGGCACTTACAGGCAGAGGATTAGCCAGTTGAGCCACTGCATACCCCCATGTCTTAAAATTGACAGCAGGCTGAACTCGTATATGAAATTTAATGACACAAAGCATGCACAAGCACTACAAACAATTAAAAACACCTTGTAGATAAATACTTTTATAGAACACATAAAAATATTTATTATCTCCTTGTAGTCTAATACACTCTTTCGCAATGAGAGGAACTCGATATTGCAAGTTGTAGAAAACCTTTAGTTTATCAAATGAGTAAAGAACGTGCTTTGTCTAAATCTGATACCATACACAGCTAGATTCGATACATATACACAACTAGAAAAGCTTATCAAAATAAACCAAACAGGCCCAGCACAGTAGCCTAGCAGCTAAAGTCCTCACTTCGCACACACCGAGATCCCATATGGGTGACCATTCTAATTGCATTGGCCCTGCTCTACTTCCCATCCAGCTCCCTGCTTGTGGCCTGGGAAAGCAGTTGAGGATGGTCCAAAGCCTTGGGAACCTGCACCCCTATGGTAGACCAGGAAGAAGCTCCTGGCTCCCAGCTTCTGATCTGTGCAGCACCGGCTGTTGTGGCTGCTTGGAGAGTGAATCATCAGATGGAAGATCTTCCTCTCTCTTCTCCTCTCTGTATATCTGACTTTCCAATAAAAATAAATTAATCTTCAACAGAGGAATAAAGAATGAAATAAACAACTGTTAAGCATTGTATAGGGCACCAAAATATACAAGCTAATAATAGTGATGAAGCTTTAGACTTTAACGATAATATTTGTAATTATCAACCTTCTGAAACTAAAGTTAAAACAGCAAAGGAAATGCCAGAAAATCACAGTGTTTCAGCCCATCCAAACTTCTTTAACACCTTCCTATGACTAACGAAACAAAACCAAGCTGCAACATTTTGGGAAAACATTAATGTCGGAGGCAGTCACAACAAAATGAGATACCACCACACCTTCTGCTTTACAGTTATCTACACATTTTTCTAATACTCAGCTTTTTATTTGAAAGGCATAGTAAAGGAGAGGAAGAGATAAACAGAGAAAGAGCAGAGAGGTCTACCCAAATGGTCTCAAAAACCAGGGCTGGAAGCCAAGAGCTGGAACTCATGATCCCAGCACTCTATCTTCCGCTGCTTTGCAGGGCACATTATGAGAGCTGGATAGGAAGTGGCGCAGCGGGACCACTAACCAGTGCTCAAATGGGATGCTGATGCTGCAGGGGGGTGGCTGAACTGCTATGCCACAATATTCGTCTCTCTAACATTTTTAATTGCAGATTTTCTCACAGAAACCTTGGAAGCATTTATATACAAAATGCAATTCTGAATTTTATAACTTTAAGGGGCAAGTGTTGTGGCATGGTGGATAAAACTACCCTCGGCAACACGAGCACATCATATTGCACTGCTTTATGTGGTAACTGCTCCACTGTTGTTCCAGCTAATAGCCAGGAAAGAGCAGATGGCCCAAGTGTTGGGTGCCTGTATTCACGTGGGAGTCCTGCAAGAAGCTCCTAGCTCCTGGCTTTGACCTGGTCTAGCTCTGGACCTCGTGGCCATTTGGGGAATAACAGGCAGGTGAAGATCTCCCTCTCACTCTATCCGTAAATTTTTTTAAAAAAAGATTTATTTTTGTTGCAAAGTCAGACATACAGAGAGGAAGATCCGTCCACTGAATCACTCTCTAAATGGCTGCATCAACATGAGCTGTGCCTACCTGAAGCCAGGAGCCAGGAGCTTCCTCCACGTCTCCCGCAGGGGTACAGGGTCCCAAGGCTTTGGGCCGTCCTCGACTGCTTTCCCAGGCCACAAGCAGGGAGCTGGATGGGAAGTGGGGCTGCCAGGACACACCTGGTATGTATAAGGCGAGGACTTTAGCTGTATCAGGCCACAATGTCTTTTTTTTTAAAAAAAAAAAATCGGGCCCAGTGGCGTGGCCTAGCAGCTAAAGTCCTTCCCTTGAACACGCCGGGATCCCATATGGGAGCCAGTTCTAATCTCGGCAGCTCCTTTCCCATCCAGCTCCCTGCTTGTGGCCTGGGAAAGCAGTGGAGGACAGCCCAAAGCTTTTGGAACCTGCACCCGCGTGGGAGACCTGGAGGTTTCTGGCTTCTGGCTTTGGATTGGCACAGCACCAGCCACTGCGCTCACTTGGGGAGTGAATCATCGGACGGAAGATCTTCCTTTCTGTCTTTCCTCCTCTCTATATATCTGACTTTGTAATAAAAATAAATAAATCTTTTTAAAAAAATCATTCATTTTCAATTGGAAAGGCCGATTTACACTGAGAAGGAGAGACAGAAAGATCTTCCATCCACTCCCTAAGTGTCCACAAAGGCCAAAGCTGAACTAATCCAAGCCAGGGCCAGGAGCTTCCTTGGGGTTTCCCATGTGGGTGCAGGGTCCCAAGGCTTTGGGCCGCCCTCTACTGCTTTCACAGGTCACAAGCAGGGAGCTGGATGGGAAGTGGAGTTGCCGGGATATGAATCAGCACACATATGGGATCCTGGTGGTTTCGAGGAAGGATTTAGGCACTAGGCCTCCACACTGAACACAACTTTTATATTAATGGCTGGTTTCAAATCATGTCCATATTTCACACATACTCAATATTTACAGATAAGATTAAATGCTGTAATTTGCTTCACAAGCACGCAGTGGGGATAGGAGAGTTCTAACACCAAAGTGGACCGGAACAGGAGTGACAGCAGCACACAGGGGTTGGCGACAGTGACAAACAAACCCTCCAATCTACAGCAAAAAGAGCCCCAACTTGCCACATACCAAAAAACATCTGCCCAATTTCATTTTAATGGGTTACCTGAAATTTTGTTTTATTCAAACAGTTAATGTTGAAATTTTACTTCAGACAGAAGGGGCAAATAATGTTTTCTGAAACTTATCTGAGCATGAATAAATGAACAGTTTAAAATGTAAACTGCCAAAAAAAAACCACCTGTAATAGAGATTAACTTCCAAAGCACTAAGTGGAAAAAAAAAAAAAACTTACTACAAAATACTAAAATACCACTAACATGAAATTTCTAGAACAAAACTATAGAAAAAGCTGAGGTATCACACTAAGCCTCTGCCTGCAGTTCTGGTATTGGCATCCCTTACAGCTGCAGGTGGGTCTCAACAGCTCCACCTCTGATCCAGCTCCCTCTGATGGCCTGGGAAAGCAGAGGTCGGCTCAAGTCCCTGCACCCACATGGGAGACCTGGAAAAGCCTCCCAGTTTCAAAACCTGCCCACCTCCAGCCCCTGTGGCCATTTCGGGAGTGAATCTGTGGGTGGAATACCTACCTACCTCTCTCTCTCTAAATCTGGCTTTCCAATTAAAAAAAAAAAAACTGGATTGTAAAACTGACTGCAAAATTGTACAAATCTTGCTAAAACATGAGATGAGTTACACAGCATGTAATATCCTGCTCAATAATAAATATGAATATTTGACATACACATCAATTCCATTATTCCAAACCTTGAGGGAAAAAAAAACGTTATAACACTGCCACACTGTACAATACAAGCTTTAAATGAGTTAAAATCTGGGTCTGGAGTGGTGGCCTCGCAGCTGTACACGCCTGGATCCCTTATAGGCACTGGTTCCAATCCTGGCATCCCTGCTTCCCATCCAGCTCCCTGCTTGTGGCCTGGGAAAGCAGTCCAGGATTGCCCAGGCGTTGGGACCCTGCACCGGTATGGGAGACTTGGAGAAGGCTTTTGGCTCCTGGCTTCAGATTGGTGCAGCTCTGGCCATTACAGCCATTTGGGGAACTAACTAGTGTACTGAAAACCTTTCTGTGACAATAGCCTTTCAAATAGTCACATAAATCAATCTTTAAAAAATAAATAAAAACTGATTTCCACAGCCACACCAGCCGCATTTGCAGGGCAAATAACTGTATGTGGCTAGTGCTGCCAAACCACAGCTGGAAGTCTGGCATGAACGAAGGCTGTCTTGATCTTAGCCTATGTGTCATAACATGACAACATACAACCGTGTCAGTGAACAATAAAACTTTAGTCTCATTTTTTGAATCTATAACCATGTATACCCTACACCTAATTAGAGGTGAAAAAAGCACTCTCAAACAATGGTTTTCAAGGAACCAATATAATCTGATATGTGCATTTCAAACTATGAAAAGGGACGCTAATCACCTTGTACAATAGGTGCACTTCCACCTGCTTTAGCTCACATACTGTCACACTTGTTTCTAAATGTACTGTTGTTTTTTCATAACATCGCCCAAGCACTACCATCTAATCCTAAAATACTGTGTCTATTTACTCAGCAAGCATTAACATCAACTCCAATTACACATCAATCAACATTTCGGTATTGAAACACAACTTACTCATCCAATATTCGATGTTACATAAAGAATTCCTAATTTTGAACAGTAACGTGTTGATCGGTAACAACGATGAAGTTATAATGAAAAAAATTCACTGATAAATCCCGACTCAAAATACTGACAGACCACACCGGCTCACAGAATATGCAGAAATCTACATCATTAGGTAAAATTCCCGAAAACTGAAAAAAAGTGAAATACACAAGCTGCAGAGTTCTAAAAGTAACTACTGCTGACAGTACCTTAAAGCTGCCAACACCGTTAATAACGGGTTTCAAGCCTCGGAAAGATAGGCAAGGCTGCCTCCTAATCTCGGATACCTCAACGCACTACAGGAAGAACCCGGGGTCCGGCCATTGCTTGGCTGAATCCTTAAGCTAATTTCAAACTTCCCCTAAAGAAACAACCAAATCTCAAATCGTTACCGCCAGCCCCGATTCCTCCCCTAGATTTCCAATCTGAAACATCGAACTGCCTGATGTACACAGCTGCATTTTACCGTCCAAGCTTCCCACAGCCCCAGCCCTACATCCGCGGGATCTCCCACAACATCTTCGCTCCATCACCTTAGTACTTCTCAGTTCCACCTTCGAAATCCCTCTACCAGCTTCCCTCCCCCACCAGCCCCAAGGCTCAGCAAGCCGACCCTGCCACATTCGCGCAATAACGTCCTTCCTTCCAGTCTCGGTCCCCCGCTTAATCCAGCGTCCCTGGGAAGACGGCACGCTCTACCAGGTCCCCCTGAAGTTCTCGATCGGTCTTCACAGGTGAACCGCGCCAAACCCTGGGACGCAGACACGCCGGGGCCACGTGCTCACCTAGCGGCGCCCGCTGACCCGTCCTCATGCAGAGCCGGGGACCCACCAGGCACCCGTGCGACCCTAGGCAGTTCCACCCTCCCCTGGAGGCACCCTCTCCTCTCCCTGTCCAAACGGGTCTCCCCCGCCCCCACGGCTCATCGCCCACCTTACCTTAAAGATGGCGTACCCGACCGACGTCTCAAACAGCACCAGCATGGTGAAGCCGGCTCAGGGGGCCGCAGCGCCCGTCACACCGTGATATCGACGAACAAAGACGAACCTGCGGCCCCAAAAGCCCGCTGGGCCGCGACGGGCAAAACGCGAAGGCGCACGTCTCCCCCACAGGAATCACACCGCGTAGCCCGGAGCTGCTACACAGTACGGCATGTGGGACACCAGAACGCGCTTCTCCTTCGCCACGGCTTCTGGGAAGCTGACGTCACTTCCGACAGCAGCCTGCCGCTGAGCGTCCCACCTCTTCCGGAATGTTCCCGCCGAAAGGGGGCGAGTTGGAGCTCCAAAACATCGCGAGATCTATTAGCGGTGGAGCCGAGTGTCACGTCGCCTGGCCATGCGCAATAAAGTCATGGCTGCGGCGGTGTTTGCAAGGCATCTTCGTGAGTGTCGTCTGTCCGGCCTTACTAATTCTTGACAGAAAATCCCCATCCTGGGATGGAGTGGAAAGGAAATCCTGGACTGAATAACAGGAAAAAGTGAGGGAAAGGTTTGGCGCGGTAGCGCAGCAAGCTAAGCCCTGTGGCCTCTTGTTCGTGTCCCGGCTGCTCCACTTCCCATCCGGGTCCCTGCTTATGGCCTGGGAAAGCAGGGGGAATAAACCAAGTCCTGGGGACCCTGCACCCGCGTGATGGACCCGGAAGGAGCTTCTGGCTGCTGGCATCTGACCAGCCTGACCATAGCGGCCATTTGGGGAGTGGATCTGTGGGAAGCACAGATCTCTTGTCCTTCTCTCTGTAAAATCTGCCTTTCAAATATAAATAAATTAATTAGTTAAATTAATGAAAATACGTTTTAAAAGCGGAAGGAAATTAACATGTTAAGGAGCAGGGTAGGAATTAACTTAAGCATGTGAGAGGAGCTATAGAATCAAAATGGGAATTTCTGAGTTCCTGAATGAATTAAGAAATGGAGAGGCAGACTGTGGAGCTGGACCGGCAATTGTGCTCAAAAGGATTGCTCATGTTCTAGAACCATGTAAAGGTCAATCCCACCTTGCTCCCTAGGGCAGTTCAGGGCAATCTTTTGGACCCTACTGCAAAGGTGGTGTGTGAGGTACGGGACCCTGTGCTAGTCATGTCCTGGGAGCAATTTCTTAGATTTCACGCCCAGAAAGACCTCTATCCACTAATATCCCAGAAGAAAAAGAGGAAGGAAAAAATGGTGGGCCACACTCATTTATAGGGGGCTGAACATTGGGTGTTGAGATAAGCTGCTGGCTGCATCACAAGTAAGCACTGGTTCAAGGCCCTGCCATGCCACTTCTGATCCGGCTCCCTGCTAGTGTGTCTGGGAAAAGCAGCAACAGGTGACATGAGTACCTAGGCCACTGCTGCTTACTGGGGATAAAAAATGGAATTTCAAGCTCCTGACCATATAGATAAATTCTGTTTCTCTCTCTTTTTCTGTATCACTGTCTTTCAAACAAAACTCTACAGTCTAAAGCAGGTTTGGCTCTTAGTTCTTTATAAAGCTGTCTACCTGATCTGTTAGGTGTATTTATATATAGATATATATCACCTATATAGACAGATATTTTTATTTATTTCAAATATTTTTATTGCAAATGCAGATTTAGAGAGCGGAAAGACAGAGAGAAAGATCTCCCATCTGCTGGTTCACTCCTTAAATGTCTACAATAGCTGGAACCTATATGGGATGCCTGCATTTGCGGGCAGAAGACCAGTTAAGAAAGGCATCATGCTGGCCCATAGGATATATTCTTTTGATTAAACTTTCCTACTCTGGGACCTGGTGTGGTAGCCTCGAGGCTAAAGTCCTTACCTTGAATCCACTGGAATCCCATAAGGGCACTGGTTCCCGTACCAGCTGCTCTACTTCCTATCCAGCTCCCTGCTTGTGGCCTGGGAAAGCAGTAGAGGACAGTCCAAGGACTTGGGATCCTGAACCCACATGGGAGACCCAGAAGAAGCTCCTGGCTCCTGGCTTTGAATTGGCTCAGCTACAGCTGTTGCAGCCACTTGGGAAGTGAATTAGAGGATGGAAGATCTCTCTGTCCTCTCTGTACGTCTGATTTTCCAATAAAAATAAACAAATAAGAAATATTTAAAAGAAAAATTTTCCTAGTTCGGCCTGCACTGTGAAATGGGCACCAGTTTGAGTCCCAGCTACTCCATGTCTGATATAGGTTCTCTGCTTATGTTTCTGCAAAAGCAAAAAAGGATGGCCCAGGTACTTGGGCACCTGCAACTACTTGGGAGAACTACATGTTCAGGCTTTAACTATCCTAACCCAGCCCTGGCTGTTACAGTCATTTGGAGGAATGGACCCACAGATGAAAGAGCTCTATTTCTTGCCTGTAAGATCTATCTCTATAATTCCACCTTTCAAATAAGTAATTTTATTTGAAGTTTCACTAGCATGTTTGCTGCTGCTTTCTGTCTCATGTTTGAAATTCTCTTCTCATGCAATGACGGTGGCTCTCTGACAGCCACCTATAGCAAAGGTGTGGAGGGGTCTAGGGTGAAGACAGCAGCACAACTGATTACACCTGTAGCCGTAGTCCAGTGTGATCGGTAAGACAAGAGAAAGCAATGGATAGATGTAAGAGGAGGATAGATGGTTTTACAATATTGTTTAACTTCAAGATATTTTTCTGTCTAACTTCCTTAACATTTGCTGGAGAGTTGTCTGTATTTTACGCTTTCCTATATCCATATAGAGCATTATGCTGTACTACTCAAGAAATAGAATCTCATTAAACCTTTAGTATGGGAGGCGGGAGGCAGTGACCCACTGCCATTCTCAGGTGCCTGTGTGCTCCAGCCAAGGGGAAGAGGTGGGGAACCCTTGAGAGCCTGTGGATGAAGGCTTGGGGCCAGGAAGGACAAAGAGTATAGCAGCGGTAGGCATGTGGGGACCTGGGAGTTCACCTCCAGGCAGGTGGAGTGAACCTGGGGATTTCCTCATGTGTTTGGTCCTGGGTAAGGTAAGGAGAGAGTAGGGAAGATCCCCAGGTCAGCACGCTGCTCTCATGTGCTGGTGAACCAGGCCTGGAGACTTCAGTGGGTCTTGGATGTGTGGAGGGGTAAGGCTCCAGGCCAGCGTATGTGCCCTGGTGCGCGGCAGAACACCAGACCAGCACACCACCCACTGTGCTTCCAAAAGCTGGGCTGGAGAACGTATAAACTCCTGGGCACAGGAATTGTGAATTGGAGCCTGGTGTAATAACCTAGCAGTTAAAATCCTTGCCTTGCCTCAGACGAAGTTTCTTTGTAGATCTCTTCCTATTGAACTGCTGATCTCAGAACCCCAACCATGAAGAGACTATGTCAGCCAATAGATTTCATCTTGGATAGATTTCATTGTGATTAGAACAGCAAGATGGGCAGCAATTCAAAACGGTTGAACTATCAAAACTGCTTGAGCAGGACCCTCAGAGCATGCCCTAGAATAGGGACCTGGGATGGGTAGGAGGCTGGGTGGGGCTTCTCCCTTTGTTTCTCCTATGACCCCATATACAGGGGAAAAATGATTATATTAGTGTGGAAACAATAGTCATACCCACTTTCCTGTAGTCCTTGACCCATCGTGCCCTAATCAACTATGTAAGATTATTAAATAAATAAATAAATAAGACAAAGACTGGCTACTAAAAAAACAAAAACAAAAAAACCCTTTCCTTGCACATGCTGGGATCCCATATGGGCAGTGGTTCTACTCCCGGCAGACCACTGCCCATCCAGCTCCCTGTTAGTGGTCTGGGAGAGCAGTCAAGGACAGCCCAAAGCCTTGGGGCTCCTGGCTTTGGCTCAGCTCCACTCCCTTTATTGCAGCCATGTGGGGAATGAATCAGTGGATGGAAGATCTTCCTCTCTGTCTCTCCCCCTCTGTTTTTATCTGACTTCTCAATAAAAAATAAAGTGGGGCCTGTCGCGATAGCATAGCCTTGAATGTGCTGGGATCCCATATGGGTGCCGGTTCTAATCCTGGCAGTCCCACTTCCTATCCAGCTTCCTGTTTGTGGCCTGAGAAAGCAGTTGAAGACAGTCCAAAAGCCTTGAGAGCCTGCACCCGCATGGGAGACTCAGAAGAAGCTCCTGGCTCCTGGCTTCAGATTGGCTCAGCTCCAGCCATTGCAACTGCTTGGGGAGTGAACCATCAGACAGAAGATCTCCCTCTCTGTCTCTCCTCTTCGCTGTTTGTCTATCTGCCTTTCCAATAAAAATAAATAAATATTTAAAAATAAATAAATAAGATGAAACTTAAAAAAAATTGTGGATTGATTAGGCAAAGGTGCAAGGGGATATGCAGTAAGGGAGACAATCCTGGGAGTATCTTGTAGGTGAGGACTAACTCCTGAGGGACTTCCAATGACAAGGCCACTGTACTTGCAGATAAGCGAGAGCACTGAGACCTGGTGGTTTGGAGGGGTGAGACCAGAAGAACTTCATGGGTTAGATCAATGCACCAACCTACATGGGAGACCTGAGCTGAGCTTGTTAGCATGGAACATTGCTAACCACCACACACAAGGCCACACCAGTTATGGCTGAGGGCCTATCTGGCAGGGCTAGATCCCAGTACCTGACAGTGAATGTCAGATCAGGGGACAGACGGGTGACAGTAGGACACGACACCAACCAGCACGCAAGAGAACCAGATCCAGGGATAGATTCTGTGGGAGATATGTAGGCCCAACCCTATGGAATTACAAGTCCTGCTGGTTAGCTTAAGACTTGGGATGGTGATGGGCTGAGCTAGGTGTGACCATGGAATTCACGGACACTCACAGGTACTGGAGCTAGGAACAGGCTAGGCAGGTTCAGGCTGCAGCACCTGCATGAGCACCTTTAAACAGGGTGTAAGGTGGGTTGGGTCACAACATCCACCAGCTCATGCAAAGGCTGGGACAGATGGGGCAGGCCATGCCAGGTAAGGGTCTAGCACCTGTTGGCGTATGTGAGATCTGGGTCTGGAAGTGGAATTAATGGAGGAACTTGGGAAACTCCTCTGGTTGGTTATAGCTCCCACTGGTGAGCACGTGGTCCAGGTGTGGGTGTTGAACAGGCTGGGTAAGGTAGATCTATCCATTGGCAAGTATGTGAGTTGATTTTGGAAGGGGGTGGACGGGGTAGGGCCAAGCAAACACTAACCCACTGGCAAGTGCAGAAACCAGGATGGAGTGCAAGTC